AATTATATTGATCAAACAATAAGTTTCCGTCCCCTACTATGGGTATTATTTCACATTCCATACTCAAACTTAAACTCAATTACCACTTTCCTTCAGATCACTTTGCAGGAAAACTAAAACATTTTTGTGTCCCAGTTAGTCTGTTCTGACTCGAAATTCATAGATTTGAAGTAGTGACAAATCCAATCTAACGACCCCAATTCAAAAGAGTTGGTATTTGTTTAGGGACTTCCAGAGCACATTTAACACCATCACTGTTCTTTACCTTTTTAGTTCGATGGTTCTCTACATGTTTTTTTCGTTCGGTGTCTCTTTACGCCCGGTTAATGATTACATCTTCTTTAAGTCACATACTTCTTCGCCAGAACCGAATGGTAAGTCACAGTTTCTCAAGGCACTTACCTGTGTACTTGAAAAAAAATTCACTGATATATTGTAGTTCCACGTATCCCAGCGTACTCGCCATCTCGAGAAGGTAAAGTTTGGTACCACTGAACGTATAACTCTGATCTTGAGTAAGATTCGTCACCTACTATTCCCACTCATTAGCAATTATATTTACAACTTGCAAGATTATTCTGGTGGCCGTAGAGAATAAATTATATTGATCAAAACAATAAGTTTCCATTCCCTACTATGGGTATTATTTCACATTCCATACTCAAACTTAAACTCAATTACCACTTTCCTTCAGATCACTTTGCAGGAAAACTAAAACATTTAAAAAATAATTTAACAAAAACACTTTCCTTGATCAAAATCGTGTGTTTATAAACAGAAACTCCAAGTTTAATAATTGCATACTGAAAGTGAGGTTATAAAAATAATAACAAATGTCTGACAAACATTAAACAGCTGACGAATAATTGATAAACTGTGTATTATATTCTTCAATAAGAATTGTATTGACTCGACCTTTAAAGGGCTGTAGGTCGTAGCCCTTAGAAAAAACGTAAATTCTAATGAAGTTCCGCAAATCTACACACTATCCCCTTTAATTTGAGACATAAATCTTGTAGATCGGTCCAGTAATTACTGAGAAAACAGTGTTACAACTGTGTATTAAATATATAGATATTAAAACTTCAGTGTTAGAAATCATTTTTCCTACAGTCGTGTGACAAAGTGGGCTTCCTTGCACTGATTATAGTACAGATAGTTGCTAATTGCTGCATTTACTTACTTTTTTGCACTATTTTTACTTTTGCCGCACTCTTTTTTTACCACACTCCAGTATTCCAACCAAACAAAACGGCATGCTTTATGTTTATGCTTAAAAATAAGTTGTGAACACAAAACTACGACTAACTGTTGCAGTGTTTCCAATTTCGTTCAACACTTGGATTTAACCTAACCTAAAACGTGATGTATAGTGTTTGAAAGACTAATTATTTATATCCTTAATAATAACTGTAGGAAAAATATAATGTGTAACGCAGTGCAAATTGCCTTTTCTGCACTCAAGAAACTTTCCACACTCGCCTGCGGCTTGTCCATAAACATTTCTCTCGTATGCAGCAAAGTGTCACCTCACACATAAGTTACATAAAAACCATTGTATTTTATCTGCATAATATTACCAACATGTAAAATACTAATCAAGATGTTATTTGATTACCCATTGTCAGATGATCAATTAATCTCTATCATGTTATTTTTTTTAACAGATGTAGAAGTAATAGCCAGTAAAGCAGACTATCCAATTCATCTGTAAAATCTGCTTGCTTAGGTTTGGTTGGAATGTATTAAAATAACTAAACAATATTTTTAATTCATGGTGATGAATGGATTTTAACTGAAGTCACTACTCCCGGATCAAACATCTAATGAAAAGGGAGCCTTCAAGATGGCCGCATGATTGTGTGTTTTGTTGGTCACACTGTCTCGGTTTGGACCACCTGTCAAATTATGGTGGGAATTTTTCAGGTTGTGTTAGGAAAACATTAAACTTGCACCATTCTTGTACACCTGAGGGTCGTTCTTCAATCAATGCCATATGTAAGTAGGCCTACACCAATATCTCCAAACCAGGAAAGTTGACTATTTTCAAAATAAATCATTAGGAACTTGACAAGAGGAAAGTAAGTTATTATTTAGTATTAAAAAACAATTGATAATGTTTTGAAGTTACTTTAATTACACTGGTTTTAACGTGCAATAATTAAAATTGTTGATAAAAGTACATCAAATAACCCAACTAGCATGATTGGAATGAATTTGACAGCTATCCAACCATGGCCAAACAACACGATAAACAGCTAAAACAGTAGCTACGCTTTTTAAACACAGAGTGGTGACTCCAGTTATAATCTGTTCATCTCTATGGTTCAATTACAATTCCTATAAGACTAAAATAGTTTTTTGTTTTTATCAATTTCTTTAGTGTTGTATTTGCTTTGATTAAATAAAATAATAAAATAAATCAAGTCTGAAACATATATGTCTACAACAAATCTCTGTGAAAACATTTATCTTGGTCATTCATTCATTTTTTGGCTTGATGGTCTAGCAACAAAACGATTTGCTCTATATAAAAAATAGTCCGTCATTTCAATACTTTGACTTTTAGGACACTAAGTGTATTTTATTGGGCTTTTCAGCAATGAGCAGGCTTCAGCTAACCAAACGGAGGGTGACAGGGAAAATAATGTTTCAGTTCAACCAGTTGCTTCACACTCTACCAATGATAATTCTACCTCTCCGATCTCATCATCATCAGTACAAGTGAATGACCAACAGAAAGTGTGTGAGATTGAATCTAAAGATGCAAGTGTGTGTGACAGTGATTGTGAAGATGACTCAAACAGTGACAGTGATGCTACATATACTGAGGACATAGTAAATGAGTCAGACATTGATGTCATTGACAGGGTCATGAATAACAAACTAGCAGGTCAGTCAGATATATGCGCTTGTAGATTATTTATATTGAGTACAATATAACGCTGGGTTTTCCTAGGCGCAGAAAGTGGGCTCTCCTCTTGTCTCAAACTGAAATTTTCTAGGCACAGGATGCGGAGTGCAGAGAAGCAATTTTCTAGGTGCCGAAGGAGAGCACAGGATGCGGAGTGCAGAGAAGCAATTTTCTAGGTGCCGAAGGAGAGCACAGGATGCGGAGTGCAGAGAAGCAAATTTCTAGGTTCTGAAGGAGAGCACGGGACGCGGAATGCAGAGAAGCAAATTTCTAGGTGCTGAAGGAGAGCACAGGATGCGGAGTGCAGAGAAGCAAATTTCTAGGTTCTGAAGGAGAGCACAGGACGCAGAGTGCAGAGAAGCAATTTTCTAGGTGCTGAAGGAGAGCACAGGACGCAGAGTGCAGAGAAGCAATTTTCCACTTGCCCAGTGGAGGTTCGATCTTCTTCTAGAAAATCATTAACATTTAATTACCTAAGACGAGTCCGTCCTCCACTTCTGGGCCTAAAAAAAACAACTTATGTAATTTCCATTTTCTGCATATATTTTGTTGTGTAAAGTAATTCATGTTATGCAACACATTTAAAGTATAAATAGGGAAATTCGCTAAAAGAGTGATAAAAAAGGAAGCACGAAAGGTGCACAAGCAGCAGCAATTGTTAGCACATTTGTAAAGCACTACCATATTACAAACCATTTTCATAAACCTGATTTGAAAATTTTAGAATAAACAGTTTTGAATGATCGTAATTTGGGAAAATAAAGTGTAGGCTATAGCATAGTGTATTTTTCAACTTAAAACTTTTTTATAATTATCAGGTTCTAGTTATCCTGGTCATTTAGTTTTCTAATTATTATTTTGTAAAAGTCCAGTGATAAATTAAATATTATTACTATACTGATAGTTTACTATGTACTATCTATATTGTTCACCATGACATTAATCTATTTAATTTTGTGCGTTTCAGCTGTGAATCACTCCGTAAAACTATATAACCACTTGATTCAGCAGCAGTATCAAGGAAAGAAGTTTACAAAAAAAGAAAGGAAAAAGTATTTGAAGCATAAAAAATTTCTGTTAAATCGTGGAATTGTTCTAAAGGATGTCACCAGTGTTAAATATTTCAAATTAGAAGACTATTTGGTCGATGTTAATTCCATTAATGTTGTGACAGCTTCAAATTTACCTAAAAGCTGTCCAAATAAAAAACATCATAAAAAGATATTAAAAGCCAACTCAGCCTGGCATAGTGAGATTACAGGCCTTCAAGTACTGAAGGAGAAGCCAGAGCTGATTTCCAAAGATATTAGAGAAGTCATTCAACAACTGAAGATGGAAGAAGCGAAAAAATTGAAAATTTACAAACAAGGAAAGAATTTAAGGAGGAAAATAAAGTTGTTTGTCAGAACTATTGGAGCAAAGACACTTTATAATTAATTTATAAGAAAAGTCTGTGATTTATTACCCGAAAGTGACCTTCATAAAAACTTTGGAAGTAAGGTGACCTGTTAACTTTTAAGGTTACAATTTATACAGTAATGTTACAACTGTGTATTAAATATATAGATGTATATTAAATTTTTATTAGCTAGTAAATGCATGCTTAAAAATGTTTCTTCGTGTCCTTTTAAAATCTCTACATCCACAGTTATTTTTGAAGCTTAGAAATTAAATACAATTTAACGTGTGATGTTGATGGGAATTTTACTCGTGGCATATATGTACCATGCTGTGATAAATTGTACAGTCTCTCATCAATTAATAACATCTATAAGGATAAGGAATAAGGATGGTAAAAGTGTTATCAAGTTTTCAAAATAAAAAGGCTATTAACAGGATTAATCTTAAAAATTTAATTTACAATGGCTTCATCAAATACAAGTCAGTCTTAAGAAAATTTAAAAATCATAAAAAAATATTGTAACTCAGTTGTAATATTGTTAATGTTAGATCGATACCGCGAGACTATGGACAAAGACTGCTTGTAAAGGAAAAGAGGCTACCTAATTTTCGACAAACAACTAATATATCACTTATTTTTCTTAGTTAAACTACTACTCAAAATGCCAAAATTAAAAACAAACCATTTTAAAATTATAATTTTACTGTCACTGAAAGGTAGTTCGGACTAAAAAGAATCACATTTTAAAATACTGGATGACTGATGCATTGATGTTGTTATCTTCATACAGAGCTGAGAAGAGAGCAAACAGACTTGTTGGCTGGATCACGTCGACAAATGTCAATACCAGAGGTGGTACTGTCCGGAGTCTGGGCGCCAAATTTGGTATAAGCTCGCTCCAAACTCTGTAGTATATTTTTGGCCAGGAGTCGCATGTCAGCATCAGTTGTGTTGGTTAGTTCCTTGATTTTATCCATGGGAATCTGAACAAAAGGATGTTCCAATTCAAAAATATATTTTTTGCTCTAAAGATAAAAATGTAAAACTAATTTTTTGATGGCCACTTTTATGGGTGATGAGGTTTTAGATTTATTGGGGGCGCAGGTAAGAGAAAAATTCCTCGACAAAGTGGGTGGAGAGGGGCGCAGTTATCTCTCGGGCCCATAGTGCATCACTTGCAAACCACGGGTCTTATTTTGTGTAATGGAACAGAGTTTATGCTTAGGAGTAGCTCAAGAACCATCAGAGTAATAGATATTAATGGAAGAGAAAAATAACTTTGTGATACACTTCTTTGATGATACTTATATTTTGAGAAGTTCAACCATTATAACTTTGACAATGTTATAGAACCAACTGCATTATCGTCATAATGCATATTTGTATGATGTATATATTTATCGCCTGAAATTGTGAATTCGTGTGACGTCTTGTTTAAATTTATTACTGAATATTTAAAAAATAGTGAGGCCATATTTTAATGGCTAAAGACAATCTCACCAATCCAGTGAGTACATTAAAATTATTTGGATTTTGATAGGCACTCTCGTTTTTCAGGAGAAGGCTGCGTAAAATGCCTCTTGGGCCGTAACAGACAGACCGACACACAGAAATAGAGATGAGACTTGTTTCGGCTTCTTAAATGTATAAAACGGAAAAATAATCTAAAAATTTATAATTTTGAGCAATGTACAGACTAAATTCTAATTTTATTTATATAGATAAGACCAGCTGTTTTTAACCACTGATATTTATAAAAGCCAAATAATAACTGACAGCTGGACACAGTTTCAAACCTTCAAAAAAGTTACCGGTACTTAATTCTCTGAAAATTAAACCAATAACTTACTGATTACTGGGCTAGCACTGTATCTGTAGGTAGGTACTCAGCTACCCAAAACTTGAAATTATGACCCTAACAAATTTTTCACACCTTGCCACCACTAACTACAGTACTCACTGCATGGTACATGTCATCAAAGGCCTTGGTAGAAGGTATCTGCATGGTGAGTGACTGAAGCAGTCTCAGTGACAACAGTCTCAACTCTGGGTTGGAGTCACTTTGAATGTCTTTGGCCAACTCTCCAAACAGCGAGGTGTGGTCTAGCAACACAATCAGCCCAAGCTGATTGATGCTTAGGTTGTACAGGCTCATGAGTATCACCCTGGTGAAAGAACAAAAATTATGATTGAGGTTACAGTACAAATACTGTGAATCTTAAATGACATTATACTTCAATTTCTATTAACACTAAAACTAAAAACTAAAGTGACATTGATTTAAAAATGAATAGCCTAGAATATTTTTTTTAAACACACAATTATTTAATTCTTGAGCACCAAAAGTCGATAACATTACCTTTTCTTGCGGCAATATAGGTATCAGAATACAACTCCAAGTTTAAAATTACTACTCTTAGGTTTTTTTAATGACCAGTGCTGTTAGTGTGGAATACATTTTGTCTGATCAATGCCTGAGACAAAGTCATTGCAATGAGTACAAACCCTTTAAGAAGCTAAATACTTATGGACAATAGTCAGACTCAAAAATGTTGCCGCTGGAATGAGCTTCGCAAGGCCGCTGCTAGGAAATGCTCCCACGGCAGCTGCACTACTCTATTTTTGTCTCTTTGAGCCGATTCTTTGTCTCACTCAGTCAGCTGACTTGGCTGCACACTCACAATAGTAACGCCTTCACTCCTTAGCGGCCGCCAAACTGTACAAAATTCAAATTTTCCCAGAATGAATTTTTATCAAAGGCATTGCGCTTCTTATAGAGTTTGTATTCATTGGGTATTGTCACTCTGGTCAGGAGGCAGCACCATTGGTTAAGGGTTCAAATCCCAATTCTGCCAGGTCTGGTGGCAGATCTCATGATGAATTAGACTCTGTGGTGAAGCTGGGTGGGAGAGACCCACCCAAATAGTGTCGGATGGCTCAGGTGTATATTGATTGACAGGATATGTAGATTCTTTGTGCTTTGCAACTAATCAGGCACTTTGATCATTTTTACTCGTCCCGGAGTGTGTGTCCACACCAAAAACATTTACATAACATTTTTTACAAAATAGAAAACATAATTTAATTAGGTGTGGATGAGTTGATGAAAGTCCCTGAGGCTCAAAGAGTTAATGTCCACATTCCAAAAACATCTTAAAATAACAAACCATCTTGGCTCCCAATCAGTCTCACCTCTTTAGGGAATCACCAGTTTCATCTCGTATGCTGAGCAGGGCTGAGATCATCTGGTCGATCAGTTCTTTACCGTTGGGGTCAGTGACCAGGAACTGTCGTCCGTCAGGCGTAGCCGCCACGTTGGCCACAATGCCCACCAAGGAGAGGATGAACTGCATCTCACTGGTGCTGACGTCTGGCAGTGTCAGAGTGTAAGTCTCCATGAACGACTCCAGGGAGCCACTCACGATGCAGAGAAACTCGCTCACCCGGTTCTGCAAATTCAGGGTTGGTGTAGAAATTTGAAGCAATAATGAAATGGATGCAGTAATACCGGTAGGTCTATAGATGGATGTAGTTTTAACCATCGGAGGCAGCTGGAGTAGGCTGTAAGGTGGCAGCAGGAAAGTTTTCCTTATGAAAGTTGTCTTAACTTACTGTGCAAAATAATTCTTTATGATTTATAAAATTTTTAATAAAGGGTTTATGTTATTTATTATTTCGAAAACTTTTAATGGCCCGCAATGAGGTTTGCATGTGACACACTATGGGCCCAAGAGATGTTGGCATCCCTCCTCCTCTTTTATTAGGGGAAATGTTCTCTCTTGGCATCCCTCTGCCCCCAACAAACCTCTTGCGCACCTGACAGCTTTTTACTGAAGCAGGCCTGGACAAGATATTATTGCAGACTTTTTCATCATGATTGATAAAAAACTAGAAGTCACTTGGGCCACCATCTAGTGCAGAGGTGTCCATTGTGTTTTATAACCCTTTACACACCCACCATCTATATATAAAGCCAAAAGTACCCATGAACTTTTGAGAAAACTACAACAAGTCACACCCCCATAAACCATATACTTAAAATGTTCGTCATGACGAGAAACCTTGCGCAAAATTATCCATTATTTCATAAATTGCCCTATAAGGTCGTAATTGCTTTCCAAAGGGAACTTTCCATTTACCTAATGTTAAAAATACCTCAGCTGTTATTATTTGTTTGTATTACCATTACTGTATTCTGCTTTGTTTATTTCAGCTTAACTTAACCAATCAATATTTTTATTAATACTTATGTAGTAAACGGGGTGGAGCCCGTGGGTAACAGCTAGTTGTACTAACTATTGTTTTTATTTACTTTTTCTTTCCTGTTTCTACTTCTATAAACAGATCACTTTGTGGTTTCCTTATGTGATTTTCACTATTCGGCTGTGTTTGTGTAGGCCTATTGATCTTTTCATGCTTTGGATTCTTTCTTGTACAACAGGATCAGATTTCAGATCTCATAACGTAAAAATTTTGTTTTTCACTAAATTGTGATGAAAATGTCCACAATAATCCCTTAAATTCAAGAAAATAACTTTGTCCAGGCTCAATAGCTTTTAAATCAAAAATTTGTCAACATATTTTTTAGAAGTAAAAGTTTAATTTGTGGTTCAGGCAGTATCCAACAACTAAACTAATAGTTTGACTGACCGTGCTAAGCAGAACGTCCACAACACTGGCCATTCTTGTAGTCTTCCACATGAGACTGCCCATGATGGCTCCCATGCTGGCACAGAAGCTACTCTGACTCTTCAGCTGTGACCTCATGCGGAACATCTCGCCCTGTACTCGGCCCAGGTGTTCCTGCTGACTGTCCCACTCTCTCTGTAGGTTGTGGTACTTGGTGCGAATAGCCTCCAGCTCCTCCAGTATTGTAGACATTTCTGTAAAAATAAGATAATTGTAAGTTGTCTTTGCTTTTAGATACCAACCTTGGCCCATGTTTTAAAGATGGTATGGCCTAATATGGCCTGTATTAACTGTAGTGGTTTAAATTGCCTGGTTACTGTCCAAAACGATCTTTTGTAGCCTAGTTTACAAAGACTACAGCTGTTTTGTGGCCAGGCCCGGTCTGGCCAGGGCGGCTGGTCGGCGATCCCCGAGGGCCTCCGCCTCAAGGGGGCCTCCAAAAGCCAAAAAATCAATTCAAAAAAATTTAGTTATAATAAAAAAATATGTTGTTTAACTGTTTCACAGCGTAGTCTTGCAAAAACAATTTTTAATAAACAATACTCTTTTTTTAATTGAATTACAGTTAGGGGTAGCCCCTAAGTACAGTGATAGTCACTCGGTACTAGAGGATAGTCACCGATCTCACTGCAACACACCGTTCGAATCACCTCAGTGCCCAGCACTCCGCGGTAGTGACGAGACATTGCCGTGCCGGCGCGTCTGCAATATGTCTGGTGTCTGGACTCAAGCAGACAGCTTAGTGATGGGACAACCGACTGGAAAAAACTATCGACTAGTCAATTTGTCAATGGGTTGTTTTTAAAACCAGTGGTTTTTTTTTCAGTCTAATGAAAAACCGAGAGAATTCCACTACAACAACAACTGGTGGCATTCAATCGGTGCAGTGGTTTCAGTCATTGCAAAGAAAATTATCGAATATAATTTTACTTTAAACATTGGAGTTTTCCCGCTTGATTCCTATTGTTTGTTGTCATTTGCATTAATATTTTGTTCTGTTACTTTGGTATCAAACGTAATAGAATGACAACATTTACAATTAATTTAAAAAAAATTATTTTATTACATGACTGCAAGATTTAAATTATTCAGTAGGCCTAATGTCTCTAACTCAGTATAACAAATATTCCTATTTATTTGTTACCTGGTTTTTAAAACAGATTTTACTGCAGGCATTAAAATCTAAATCATCAGTATATAAAACACAGTGTCTTGGCAATTTTATATTTTTTTAAACAACAAAAATAAATGCAATTACATTTTATGTATCATCCCTAAAAACTGTTCCCAATTCCTATCCGTCAGTTTATCTACAACAGATTTTATTCGACCAGTCAGCCTCATCTCAACACCAAAAGGTCGAGTATGGTGTTACGACTAGTTTAATCACCGACGACTGTTTCCAGTCATTCCTACGTAGTGGGTTAGGACGTATTGTTTGAAAGATTACTAACACGTGAATCGTTCAGTTTATAAAATGAAACGTGTGCACCCAAATGGGGCAAGTAAAATAAAAATGGATAGGAAATATTTCAAAATAAAAACAAATATAAAGTCAAACTGTTTGAACTTATGGTTAGCAGGTTAGCTGGTTTCAGTTCCGATTCTGCTAACAATGAGAAGTCGCAAACAGGCAGGCGGAAATCATCAGAAGTTTTTTGTAAGCCTTACAACGTTTAAATTAAAATACTTTTGATTATTTCTGTTTGTCTTTGTTGCTGAAGTACAACTATGGAGTAAAGTGTGTGATAAACAGTAAATGTGGTCCATTCATAGATGTATTCAAAATTCAAAAGTGGTACGTGATATGCTTTTTTACCATGTATGACAAAAACTCCAAGAACTAGGTTTTGGTCTTGTTTTTAAATTGAAGACTTAAAACAATTTTAAGAATAGACCTTTCAATTTTATGGCAGCTGTAGAGGTGAATAGAAATACGAGCAAATTTTATATCAAATTTAAATTGATTGATACCTTAGAATTAAATTTATAAATACAAAAATTTTAATTTATGGAAATTTAGCAATTATTAATTTAATAAAAATTATCAAAAACTTTTAATCATTTAAAACCACATTAGGCCCCTTTTATGCACCTGCGGCATGCAGCAAACATATATGCTAACTAATTGTTGCCGTGAGAGCACCCCATGGTCCTTTGTTTTATTTCTGGCTGGGGGCCTCAAATCAACATCTAGCCGAGGGCCTCCAATGGAGCCAGACCGGGCCTGTTTGTGGCTTCGGATGGAGCACATTATCAGGTCAGAATGTCAAGAGATGATTAAATATTCCTTATGGTGGAGTTCATCAAAAGTTAAATGCTATACACATAGCATTGCACATAACACAGAAGATACAGTAAACAAAACATTTTTAACACTAGTAGTCCAGACAGTAACAATTCTTGTAATACAAATATAATACGGCGCCGGAAGAGGGTGAGTCTTGACAGTACCCAGGTTATTTTAATACTTTAACATATATTTTTAAGCTAAGTATGTGTAAACGATGAGTGTAGAATGGCATGAGATGATCTGTGTAGCTTTGTTACTGACTAAGATCAGCTGTTTCATTAGTAAGGATAATTCATTGATAACCACGTGATCAAGGAAAGCTGGGCCCAGTGCCCAGTTTTGTGCCTAATTTGTTTAAAAACTCCTGGCTTTTCTCTGAATTGAACCAGTGACCTTTTGTAAGGCAAGGCAAGCACCAAGCCTCTTAGCTATTTTTGTCTAATAGTAACCTTAAAGATTACAAATATGAAAGAGTGTTCAGTACATGATGATCTATTCTTTGTCAAAAATTAAATTAATCAGGTTGAAAACTTTGTGGATTGAACAACAACTATGAAGATTTAACATTTTTCTACTTCCAAAATGTCCAATCCAATTAATCTATTCTATAACTTAGTTTAGGCTTGAATTATGATACATACCCCTGACCATAGGCTTAGATGCAATATTTGACTATTGATAACATTGACAATTATTGGATACTGAAGTAGACATCCCATCTACCAGCTGTCGTCAATTTACTATTAAAAAGAACGTAGTTGTGTGAGCCAGTCACAGAATGGGTTACTGTCAAAATTCAATATTCAACCTTATTTTCTATTGCTGATATAGTTGATAGGCCATAACAGTTACTAAATTTCACAATATGTCATTCCATTAGTATGACTCATGACTTTGGTAAAACGTTTGTTTATTCAACAGAAATCATTAAGCACAATCTGTCATTGGCTCACATCAACTACGGTACAATTGTGATTTTGATTTAAAAACTGGCGACAACTTTAACATGGGGATGGATTCAATAGTCAGTAAAATAGAACTAAATTCTAGATACCATTTCCACATTAAAGTTTTAGTTAGTTTTATAGGCCTAATAATATGAGTGATTGCTGCTTAAAAGAGTGTGCTGACATAAATTACTGATTTTTGTAGAATGCATTAAATATTGAACCAAGCCAAACTGAAAGGACCAGTTACCATTGACCAAATGTTTAACAAATTACTTATATTAGGCCATGAAGACTTTTTTCCTACTTTGACAAACAAATTTATAAAAACGTAACTGCTAGTGGAACAGACTTTTACTAGGTACTCTGAAAGCAATCCTAGTTATTTCATTCTTTGCCTGACAAAACTGATGGTATTCATTTTATGAGGAACTAGCTGTAACCCGCGGGCTTTGCCCCGTTTAACTTCTTAATTTTCAAGATGATCTCGTTCGCATGGCTCAATCACGTCCTGGTTGAAGTTCGTTCGCTACGCTCACTCACCTTTAGGTTGGAGCTCGTTCGCTACGCTCACTCACCTTTAGGTTGGAGCTCGTTCGCTGCGCTCACTTGCCTTCAGGTTAGCTCGTTCGCTGCGCTCACTTGCCTTCAGGTTAGCTCGTTCGCTACGCTCACTTGCCTTCAGGTTAGCTCGTTCGCTACGCTAACTCGCCTCCAGGTTGAAGTTCGTTCGCTACGCTCACTCACCTTTTGGTTGCAAATTATTTAGCTTTTGTCATAAATGTAAAAGAAATAATAGTGCTGTACCCTGTTGGTAATCCTTGTAACTTTAATGCTATTGAACATCATAGAACAGAACCAACTTGTTTAGTTGAAACAGCTGTTAAGATTCATTAATTCCACTTCTTATAAGGTTAACATGGGAAACTCCAGAGCCACTGGGGCGGAGCCGATTGGACGGACACGAAATTGATGGTGTATAAACCTATTCCATGAAATTCTACACGTATGTACCAAGTTTCGTGGCAATCGGTTCAGCGGTGTCTGAGTTTATCACTGCCAAACAAACAAATATATATATATATATAAATACAAACATCCTCTTTTATACTTATAGATAAAAAAAGATATACAGACAGAAATTGTCAATAGTTTTACTAATGGTAGGCCTACAACCCTATAATGTTAATTTACCTTTCTTCTTTGAGGCAATAAAAGGGCCAACAATAAACTCAACGTTAGAGCGCAGAACCTTGATACTCTGGGTCAGCCGAAGCAATTCCGGAGCAAGATCAAAGCAGTCCGGGGGATGAGAGAGATCTTCAAGAAGTCCTTTCAAATTTCCACATAGAGAAGATAGAGTGGACACTGCACCCTCCTGTAATGGCCAAACAAATAAAAGAATATCACAGAAGACGCTCAAATTCATGACTGACATGGCAAATTAGTTTATTCTAGGAATACATGTAGTAAACCTTAAACCATTCAAGTTTTAGTTAAACTTTGTAGCACATTTCAGAACTTTTGGACGACAGAAGTAATTTTCTTATGTAGGCCTACAAAACTGAAAACAGTTTGATCATTAAAGTAGCCTAAAACTTACAGCGACAAAAATAATTGTGATTAAAAATCCAAATTAAGACAACCAAAACAGAATATTGGCTTATCCCCATTATAGCCTATATCCATTTGAGGTCAGTTTCTATGTCTTATGTCAAATTAAGATACAATGCAGTCCTAACTAGAAATAGGTAACATTGGGTAGACTTCCGTATCTGTTGGCACAAACAACCGAATGAAAATATCGATCGATATATCATTTAGCTAGTTAGGTAAGGTGAACCTAACCTAACTAACCAAACGATATATCAAATGAAACAATCGAATAATCGATATTTTCATTCGGTTGTTGTGCCAACAGATACGGAAATCTACCCATAACATTTGGTAGTAGTGGCAGTTTCAGGATTTCACTACCTACTCAGTAAAAATTAAAGCCTAAAACATGTTTTAGAGTTACATTTTAGGTTTAAGATATTGTATTGCATTATTTAAAAAAATTCATTAACATAGCCTACAACCCATTATAAGTTATACAAGGGGGTCTACTGTGATATTTTGAAGGGGGGTTTATCCCCCAAATCCCACAACTCTCTGGGACTGGGAACGCCTGTTGGGAACTGTTTGGGAGGTAACGTAATAAAGAACTTTGCCACTATGTTAGTTTTAGTTTGGGAATGTACAACAAAACAAACAATTGCTGCCTTGTTATATGAGGAAAATACTTCTAGGCTAGGTGTAGGCCTATAACTTAAACCAATTTAACTTAAGTTAATTACGGTCTAGAATGAAAAAATTATGGCAGCGAAAGGGTTAAGTTAAGCTGTATAGACCTACAGTCTTAAGTAAAAAAAACACACATATAAATTGCTTTTGAAGGCCTAACTTACTTAAGGGGCTAAACCAAAACCAACTTAGATTTAAATACCAACCATTATTCCACAATCTGATGTATCATTTTCCATATTATTATCCATGATAAACATTAGGTTTTCTTAAGATAAAAACACTGCAGAACTAGGACTAGATTAAAAAATAAAATTATTGATATGTACAATCTTTGATAAGAATAACCTATGCTGTTATGTTGAAAACCCAGCAAGTGTTGATTTTAATTAGCTTTCCAAATGAAGGTCCTTCATGTCTGTACTAGTGACAAATTTTAACGATAAAACATAACTATTATATTACTAATTGACTTATAAGAATTTCATATATTAATCAAACAATGATTAAAATACGGTAGGTAGCTCACGAACTTTTACAATTTAGAAACAAACTGTTGAACTTTAACGTTGCCTTGAACGGTAGCGGAAATAGGTTAGGTATGTAAAAAACTAAACAATCAACAATGGCCTGAAATCAAGTTAGCCAACATAAGGGCTTCTAAGTTTGAAAAAACATAACTTCAAAATGTTGTGTACTAGCAGGTACTGTATGTATACTGTACCGAAGCAAAATCAGTTTTAGTACTATTTGACATATTATAGATTGGATCAATTATAACTTTATCGATTCTGTTTAGAGTTAGATTATTTATTACGTTCACGCCAATTTTTATTTTCGTACATGGCGAAACATAGATCCGATTCCATCGTATTGCTATATAGAAAACATCAAAATCCCCTAGATTTGTTATCTTGTATTTTTAGTGTTGGTGTTGTAGCAGAATACAATATTTTATTGTTGGCTTCGTCCAGAGCACTGTAGGTTAGGTGTCTTGTTTTGTTTACCAGTTGTTTCTTGTTATTTCAGTAACGTTAAACCTAGTTTAACCAAATAAAACGATCCAGTCTTAGGCCCGGTTTCCCCAAAATGGTGTAAACTACGTTTATAATAAACTAGTTTATTTTTAAACTCCGTTTAAAATGTGTGTTCGGTTTCTCCAACATTTTACTGGCTTCGTTTAAGATAAACGGCAATTCGAGCGGTTGGCAATCCTGAATGTGTATTTGTAAGGAATCTTCGGTGGGCTTTGGGCTAGTGTTTCCTACAACCACCACCACAACGCTGCGCTACAACTCAGTAGAACAGCAAAGTCCAGTGTTGCCAAAAAGCGGGTAATTACCCGAAAAGCGGGTAATTTAGTTACCTGGGGGTAATGCTGCGGGTAATGGCAAATAGGCGGGTAAAAAGCGGGTAAATGACAACTGATCAAATATTATTTGTTTTTCGTATTATTACTTTTATATTTCACTAAACTAAAAATATTTCCCTGTGTTTTTTTAAATTAAAGTAATTTCATAGACTTTTTATTGTTTTACACTACTTCTCTTAACCTTCATCAGTTTGGTTCAGTTCTCACTCAGTCACTAGTAGGCTACAGCGTTCAGTCGGTCGGTTCGGTTCAGTTTCAGTTTCAGTCAGTACGGTTGTTTGTAGTCTTTTCTTTTGGATTGGAGTGGAAAAACTTTTGGTTGCCTGGCCTTCCTTAATTTAATGTCTGATACCATAGATAAAACAAAGTCCCTTAGGCTGATACCATGGTGGAAGGAAAATACCGTCTAGTCTCTAGTCTACTTCTAAAGAGGATGAAAAACATAAAACAGGGGAATAATAATATTGATTGGTTATAATAACAATATTTTCTCCCTAAAACTAATAAAAAATTAAATTTTTAACAGTACTTTCTCATTTACTAAATAATTATATCACATAGGCTATCATAAAAAAAAAAACCAAATCATTGTAGGCCTAAGTAACTTAATGTAATTATTTTTTTAAGGTCAGTAAGATTGAAAATTTCATTATGAAGGTTAATTACAAGTCTCAAGTCGTATATTTAGTTCTTTACATCTTAATTTGTGGGATTACTCAAAACTAATTTATCAGGATTTGTATTCGTTACTTTTAGAGACAGGCAAGAGTGTTAAAAGGGAATTTTTGGTTTGTTGAGGGTAATTTTGAGAAAAAGCGGGTAATTCTTTGCTCTGGAGGGGGTAATTGGGCCATTTTGGATTGGCAACACTGGCAAAGTCTGAATGCAGCTAGAATAGCATCACTGTTTAAGGTTATGTTATCAAGTTATTATAAGTTGTTGTCAAATTCAGATTCATTCCATTTATTGAAATGGTAAATTCTGTCCCTTATTTTAGTAGGCCCTCTTGTTCTAGGTAATAAAAGTGTCATAATCTACATCTTCGAAAATGTCTATTAAACTCTTCCGTTTCAGTTAAGAGTAACTTGAAATAAAATCAAATGTACAAAAAAAACTCAATAAAAACAATAAATTATAAATAAAACTTAACTTATAAGCTAGCCCTAAACCAAGCCTATTTTCGTCCAAATGAATTTGTAGTTGCTTCAATTATTATTGTTTTAACACCTACTTTTTGTTTTGATTTGAGGTTATGTTACTGTTGTAATTTACTAATTTGAACTCAGTTTATTTTATCCCCAGTAGTTAAACCAAGTCGAGAGGTGGTTTAGTTTGAACTTAGATTAATACCTAGTTTAAATTTGGGGAAACACAAATCAAAGTTAAACTACGTTCAAATCGCCGTTTAACTTAAAACTAAGTTTAAATGAGTTGGGGAAACCGGGCCTTAAACAATAACTCGTCCCCTGGTTATAAGACCAAATAGTAAAGCACAAATCATGAAATAAACCAATTAACCCTAGAATAATAGAAACAAAATGTTAACGACACTTAGCGATCAGTGTCACCAACACGAACTAGACAAAGAATTAATAGCTTCAAAATTTACAATGGAATGAGAAGTCTACTTGTGCTGATGTTGGTTAGTTTATGGTGTGATCAAACATAGAAGCGTATAGACAACAAGAATCAAGCTTGTCTGTCTGTGATTAAAGTATAAATTCGTTCGATAACCAAACTTAGCCTAACCATAAACCAAACTTCTGCAGTGTATCGATTTTAACAATAAAAATATATTTACAATATAGAGTCGGAATCAAAGTTGTGCCACTTTATTATGAGTGTATGACAGTCTGCCAACAGTGTTTCTGATTCTGGAAATCAACCCTCCGCAACAAACGATAGGGCACATGAATAGCTCTGAGTCTGTTCTCCCCGAAAGATTCCCTACAGTATTATTTTAAAAATGTTTTGTGGGTTGTGGGTTAGACGGAAGTAGGGATGAAGAGGTAATAAATAAGGGCGTGTGACATAGCAAGCTTCAAATTAAAGATAAACCCAACAAATAATTAATATCATTACATTGGTATTTTAATCAAACTGAACTATGTTACTCGGCAAAATGAACTGACGAATATTAATATTACAAAAATATACAGGCGAGGCGATGTGCTCGACTTTAAGCCATGACTCTAGGGTAGTTCACTTGTGTTTTTATAACAAATTTAGTTCTATACCTGGTTTTACGCTAGTTTTAAAGGCATTTTTCTCTCTTCTTTGCTGTTCTATGTTGTTGTGAAGCATAGAATGTTGTACTTATCTAAGCACAATTAATTAGCTATTAACATTAGTTTTTTAATCATTATCAAATATCGTATTAAAATAAGCACGAAAATCTACAAAAGTTGTATATGTCATCATTTGCTTTATTTTTGGATCTTGCATTTTGAAACAAAATGAGGTTTATTTGGGGCGGATCACAACTTTTTGTCACTTCCTAAATCGTAAATACTACAAAAAATATACATTTCTTAGAAGGTTTGGCTCCAATGTTACTACCCCTCCCTCCTGTATTAACAACCCTGTCTACCACCCCTCGAGTATTTCTGGGGGATTCCTGAATTTATTGGGTAAAGCGCATGCTGAGGTCAGGTACCTGCATCCTAGAAACCTACCCTCCACAACAAACAATAGGAAGCAGCGTTGGCAGTAATTTGGTGAAATTTTGAGAAATAAATGATCTTGCCATTGTATACAGAGTGAGGCAGAACACCCAAAACCAGAATTGCATTGCTCTAGGTTATGTAGCCTACTGTTTACTATAGCCAATGTCATTATGACAATAATATGCAGTTGACATTTAGTTAGTTTGGTTAGACGTGGGAGTGTGGAACACTCTGGAGTAAAGTAATAGGATAGAGGTAAAATATACTTAAGGGTCTAAAAAATCAAATCGTTTGCACAAACAATTTAAAGTAAAAGTTTCTTTTCCCTAGTAAAGTTTTGCTAATACTAATCATATTCTGATCATAGATCGCGTCCTTAATTAACCTATTTCGAGTACTAAATACAACGACTAATTAATTCAAGATAAGTTAGTGCAATTCTACTCACGTGTAAAGTGCCAATGTGACTTCGACTGAACGCGAAATTAAACTTTGAATTAAATTTTTGGATAAATTAAACGATTAAAAACACTCCTAATTTTGATTAGCTACGAAAGAGAATGTGAACAACATTGTTTCAGCTGATACAAATTATAAACAATCAGTTTTCAATTGGACAGGATGGGATGAAAATATTTGCTAAAAGATAAATTTATATTGTAATTATATATAGCTCTAAACAAGGATTGAAAAATCACGGCCTCCGTAGTTAAAGGAGGCCGTGGAAAAATCCGACTGGAAATACAATACCGTGAGCTAGTAAATTAAACCCACTGATCATCCTTAAGCCTTTTCAAGCCTTCCGTAATGTACATAACACTTCTAAACGATATTTGGCAAATTTTGAATAGCAACATAATTCATCAAAATATTATAGCAATTAGACTGTTAACCATATTAAGTACATATTTAGGAATTATTTAAGTTCTAAATTCAATGCAATTAAGTTATAATTTCATTTCGGTATATAAAATTGGGTTTTAAACGTTGTTCTTACAGCAATGATCTGTGTTGTTACCATATTCGTAGATTTGAATCAAATGATCAGTCATAACATCCTTTCTCAATACTTGTCGTCACTCATATCTTTGCTCATATCTATGGCGTCGTTGGAATAGAATCTAACCTAAACAACGCAGATTCCGAGTACAAATATTTTATCAAGTCAGCATAGCATGGGTCTACACTCTTTAATCTATGATAATCCTCTATTCTGTCTTGAAACGTCCACAATTATTCAAAAATTGTAGACAAAACTTAGCTCGTACTTCACTCATCTTTCACGTTTTTATTGACTTGACCTGTTTCCATCGGTATGTTCACATTTATCCCACCGAGGCATTTGAAATATGTCAAGCCAACGAATGTTAAATAAATCAGGCAAATTAAGGTGGGTACCTTAACGGGTGAAGAGCTTAATTTCAGCATCAACAGAGACATGTCACGGTACGACAATTTGACTAAGAGTGGCTGGTGAAATTGTCGTTAGACGGGTCAATGTTGATTTCGGTTGATCAATCTTGCACGAACAGTGTCAAAGTAATAACGTGTGTCTGTGAATATAATCTCAAGCTGATTTGGAATTCAATGATCAATATGTGTGGTGTTGATTAAAATATTCACCTTTGGTCTACTTCTCGAGCCATGTGACGTGTCACGTGGTATCATTCAACAGAAAAACAATAATCTTCGCAACAATGCTGATATGTCCTCTGTTGCGGCTTAAATAACGAAAACCATACCATAGGTTAGAAATAGTCTTATAACTCATGGTTTGTTATGAAATTGTGTAGTTTTACCTTTGCTCTTGTCGGAGTTCTTGTAGGTAAAATGTTTGTGATACTGATCTTGCCTTATGCAACAACAACAAAGTTTAATCTGTATACTTTAAGCTCTTGAAACTGGGATAAACAAATATTAGAAATAGTGTATGTCTTGGAATACAATCCTAGGCAATATGGTAGGATTTAAGGTTTATTATGACGATTTATTTATACGAGTACTGCTTGGTCTCTGTACAACCCAAAAGTAAAAGCGAACATTGACAAGTCTACCTAGAATAGAAGAGAAACCCTTTGTAAACATCAGTGCACTCAAGCTTAAACGCAACTGGATATGAGACCAACACGAGCTTCAGATATTAAAACAGGATGATAAGTCTACTTGACGTAGTCAAAGTCAATGTTTATCTTTTGATGTTAATTACACCATCGGCATGTTTAACGTTTTTCGGCGACGTGAAGAGTCTAAACCCTGGCATTGTTACTATCTAATAAAAGATAATTCATTTAGTTCGGTCAAAAGCACTCATCGGAGGTGAAAGATAGATGCAAGTATAATTTGATAATGTACACTGAAAATTTGTCGGTTCTCAAAGGTGTTTAATATCAGCACCAAATCTTTTTGAAGTTGCCGCATCGAAAGGTGTAGTAAGAAAAACGTCGTAGAATAAAACCGAGCAGATGTTCTGTAGGGTCTAAGTCGTCATCCTTGTACGAATCAAAGCTTTATAAGGAATCTGGACTCTCGAGTCTTCAACGGCTTCCTCGTCTTGCGCCCGGACTCGTATCTTCGACCAGGACCTATAGAACAATAATAAAATAAAATATACTACCTTCAACCGGCCATGAGTTAATACAGCACAATTAAATTTATATTCGTACCTCGTACCTAACTCGTCTGTGAGTTTCAATGTAACAATGTTATAAATAGCACCGTTGATTTTAGATGCTGCATGTAGGCCTCTCATCAAAATGTGTTTCTGCTGTTTTAGTTTTGGGCATTGTTATCCTAGTTTGACGTATGTTTCATGTCCAACGTGAGTGCACCCAAAATGTCATGTCATGTCACCCAAAAATAATTTTCTTGTTTTAAGTTAGTATAATATTATATGGCTGACTATTATAGTAAGTAGTCTCTGATTATAATATCGAAGTACACGAGCAATGCATCAGGTAATAGATTAAATAAGCTGGTGTATTTATTAAAAAATTTTGAAATAAAAAAAAATAAATGATTGTTGAATAATAAGCACACTCTATATTTACCGGTCAGAAAATCTTTTTCAACGTTTTTAAACCATCATTAATGATAATTTCTGTTTAAGAAATCGTATGAATAATCTATCATAACATCATCAGAATGCGTATGTAAAGAATTAGCCTAATAATCAACTACGACATTTTAAGATGTTTTGTGTGAGTGTTATGTACTCTTGATTTTTTTGCATTCTTTTATTGTTGTCTGCGAAAAACAGATGACATTGATTTTGTTACTTGTTTGGACGTTTAAACACCATGATGTGCAAAAATGAATTATTTTTACATAAGAAGCAGCAAGAATGATGATTTATGTAGTTTTACCGGTTTTACTGTAAATATATAAGTACTCCAAAGTTAAATTGTAATAATAAAACGATTTGTTAATTGTAACGATTGTTAAACTACAGCAACTATATAATTAAATACGAAGTGTCAAAACATAGAAAATCATTTTTTTACCATGGATAAACCCATAAAACATACTCCCTTAGTAGATTTAGGCAATTTTGTTGTTAGTTCCATCCGGTGCACTGTAGAGGTCGTGTTTTGTTTACAATTTGTTTCTTGTTATGTCGGTCATTTAAAGCCTCGTTTAATCAAATACAACCATCTAATGGTAAACAATAATCGTCCACTAGTTATATAACTAACCAGTAAAGCACAAATCACGAAATTACCCCTAAAATAATAAACAAAATTTCTTCGACATTAGTGATCTGTGTTACTGCGTTACCGGACATGAAATTGACCCGAAAAACGAGCTTAAAAATTTACAGATGAGAAGTCTACTTGTGTTGGTTAGTCTATGGTTTTACTAACATCTGATAAGTTAATGCCATTTATTGCTTTCAGAGTAAGTACATAATCTATTTGAACCCAATGTTCTTTAATTTCCAAAAATCTTGTTTCAATTTTCCAAAAACCTTATCGTAAAGGTAAAGTAAAAACAGTCACAAATATATGCACAATTTTCAAAGAACTGCATCGGGTTTCCCCCAAAATAACGAAATTGCCTCTGAGTAGGGAAATCTCTAATAAAGTACTCGGTATTGTTTTGATGAAAATATTTATTTCGGTAGTTCTCTAGAAATTAGCCTAGCTCTATGTATTCATTGTAACAAACTTTTGTTGTTTCTAGGAATATAGATTTCAATATTTTGACGTTTGACTTAGTAGCCCTAAGTGACCCCGCTGGCCTTGCCCCCCCCCCTCTCCCCCAGTCAGTTGACTACCTACTTAGTCAGTTAGTAGTAAGTAGTCGCAGTTCAACCACTGACTTCACTTCAACTACCGAAAGCTCTCCACTTTAACACTCAACAAACATGTAAGTTAATGCAAAATATATAGCTATTATTTTAACTTTGGGTATCACTGAACAAATCTGTTAACTTAATAAGTTTGAACTATAGCCCACCATTTCTGTTGGTTCGTGTGAAATTTGGTTGGTGGTCTCTGATAACATGTTGTATCTGTAATTTTGTACAGCCGTTTATTTGGTAAACGGTATTACATTTGATTTTTATCTTAATTTGTGAATGGGACCTTTGAATAGTCAATGGTGGGGCTCTCGCTGATTTACAATATTTCTTGTACAAAGTTCGGTTGTTGTTTTGGTGTTCTAGTTTCGTCGTATCCAAATCATATTTGTTCCTAGATTTAAAACGCAAATCCAATGGAAATGTCATTTTGGTAATTTTAAGGAAGTATACCTGAGGGTAGATACTGAATACGTAAACTAAAGAGAAACCCCTAACAGTTTTCCTCAACTAAATATAGGATAATACCAGGTCACTAAACTTTAACAGCATTTAGTAGTAATATTAGGTTAAAAGTTCTACCACTGTTATCACGCCACTTTAGTTTTATAATGTTTCTATTGCCCTAAATAAGGGACTATTCATACGACGTGTTAATTCACAGGTTCACCCAAATTTGAAGTATTTAGAGAGTATTGAAGGTACGAAATGTGCAGAAAACAATATTTTGCATTAGCAATTATCACAAATAATGACTCATTACTAGGCCTACTCAAAATATAATTTTACATTGAATCTCAAGGTTTACAAAATAAAACAATATTGACCAATATTAAGTGATAAATCAAACAAGGTTAAGTAATCGAGGTTTACACGTCCGGTCAAAGTCCAGCTGATAATCCTAAGATGAATATTCACTTTCGAACCGGTTATTCTACTTCAACTTGGGAAAATGTATTCAAAAGTCTGAAATATCATGTGCAATCTATCGAATCCCTCGATATTTATGTTCTTAATAGTACTTTCATACATTTTGTCGCAAAAACAACGGAAAAAATACATTCTGATGGACTTTTATAAAAAAAGATGTAGCGTTAGAGAAACGTTGATATTATCTGTCTTTTTCTAAACTTAGTTTGCTTTCTTTGCTATAGCCACTGTTGTTATGTTTAGTTTTTTTTTGTTCTTATAATAGTGTTGTTATATGAAATATGTTATTGTTTACTTGTTCTGTTAGGAGTTGTTGTTGTAGGAAATATGTTCATATATTCTTGGTTATTTCTGTGTTTATTGAAACAGTTGTCGTTTTGTGTAGTTTTTATACACTATTTTTTTTTACTTATTTTGATTAGTTGTTCAAAGTAATGTAAAAGCATTTAACATATAGCCTGAAGCTTTAAATAAACTTGTAATCAATATAAACTAGAGAGGGGCCAATCAGTAGACTATACTTGGCTAATTACAGTGGCCTATGTATAATATTATTTTTTAAGTTGTGACAAAATGCTGCTTTGTATTTGTGTACGTAGTTTTATTCAGTAAAATCTTAGATCCGGCTCAATCCAAAATTATCTTGTAATTTGATCAATCAGTCTTGATTGGTTGGGCGTTGTGTTTATAAATACATTGATTGAGTAAGAAAACAATATTATATTTGTTTATACGAACTAGAGGTCTTCCAGTGGTCGAAAACTCGACCAAAATGTAATGTACAGACTTCTCTTTTTCCCCCAAGCTGTAAATAAAACATGTGATTGGATTTTCTTCCATTTGTTTTGATTTTCTGTTTATATTTTGTTGTTATTTCGTCACCAGCATCGCGACCAATGTCAATGTCATAAGACATTACGTGCATTAGACCATGTTAATTTCGTTCCAATTCAAAATTAATTTGTTGTGCTTATTTTTGAGCCTATTTTAATTTGTAAATGGATTCTGCACATCTACAGGAAAATATATTTTTAACAGTATGTGTAGATTTTCCCTGCGATGCACACGAGCTGAAAAAAGGTTTAAAGAAACATGCTTGCCTATTAATATATAGGCTAGACAAATTATGATTCAATTTCACTGTATGGTAAGTTACTTTGTAATTTTTTGTTTGTTTGAAGAGCTTTTTAACTGAATTGTAGACTTTTTAAATTATATTTATGAGTTCATATTAAGTTACCTACCATACTTGGTCCTGTTAAAATAGGATCCTTTAGTCTATTCGAAAATAAGTTTCACCCAACGGCCATGAAATTTATCAATCGTAGAATCCCAAACAGTTTTACGATTTGACTTTCACTCGTATCACTTTTTTGAACTTAAAGATCCACCTGGAAGGCTGGAAAACGCATTTCATACAGTATACACAACAATAAATGGTGTTGCGATGTGCACTTGTGAGGTTGGCAGTAGTGGTTAGTTAGTTGGGATCAGCTGGTTTCCACGATGATTATCGTCTGCGTATCAATCAGCTGATGACATTGACACGGCTCGTCTGTCAACCAGAACACTTCCATCCTGGTTCCCTCTGAGCTTCCGACGCACTTATCCTCACTCCGGGAGACTTTGTTCCTGTTCTTCGACCTTCCTTTAATTCTACTATGATTTTACCTCCGGCAACTTTGGAATCTCGCCTTATGAATAAATGATTAAAATACAACTGCAAGGTTTTCAAAAATTGAGAGGTCCCGAATTAGTTTCAAAAAAGAAAGCATAGTAGACATCAATTCTAGTTTTAAGTTCAATATAATTACGTAGTACTTGCATTAACTGATAACAGGCTGATTAACTGATAACAGGCTGAATTGAATTTACTTATAATATTATCAATGCAATTACTCCAAGAAAAATTAATATCCAGTTCTAAACCAAGGCATTTTGCGCTGCCACTAAGTAGTATTAACTGGTCTTGAAGGATGATTTCTGAACTATAACCTCCTTTATTTCCTCTCATATTTTAGAGTTATGTTACAGTTCGTGCCTAATTTGTTAAATGATATTAGATGACAAGCAAAATAGGACAATGTATTTGACAATCGTCATCTGATGCCAGTGGTTTTGAACACATCTTAAGCACGGGATTATCCACATATATAGAGGTCCAAATATCTAGAAAAGGATAAGGATTTCAAGCTAGGATAGTTTTCCCTGTATTGAACACATTTTCTTCGTTCCAGTACGACACGTACTTTACGAGTAAGTAAGGTACTAGCAATAGTAGTATATTTTCTGTGGTACTAGTTCGATTTGCGGGGTTTTAAAAGCGAAGATGTATTTTGAATTGACCTTATAACATTCTAAAAATAGCCAAATCTCCCAACGACCAGGAAGTGCAGAACTGTAGCTACTTCTTTACCTTGAGAGTTGGCAACAATGAATCCATTATTGACTACTGTGACCTTGTATCCACATCCATCATCACCACACAGTGCTCACCTAATGTAAGTGGTCAATTGTTGAACACCCACGTTTGAACTCATTTGGGCTCCTTTGCAATACATTTTTGCTTTTACACGTCAATGACGCGTCAGGTAATGATTTAATGATTTTAGAGTAGTTGTTTTCTAAAACAATTATAGTATTTTACAATTTTCCTCATTGAAGAATGTTGGATGATAAACGGTACCAGCAATATGACACATATTTTAAATCGTCAATAACCTTTATCATGGGTGATCGGTGGGAGTAACTACAATATGTTTTCCTACCACTGCATGGAAATGACCACATTGCGTAAACAGTACGCAAAATAGCTCATTTCCGATCGCTAAATCAGCTGATTTCACAGGTGGTGTTTTACCCCAACCACAGCCACGGATCCGGTTCGGTACGCAAATAGCATAACCTAAATGACATTTTATATACAGTACAACCATTGACTATTGGATACTAAAGTTGTATTAATAGTCAAAGATATAACTAAAAAGTTAATCTCTGTGTTATGATAAGTTAAATATGGTGGTAGGAAAAGTCTTGTAGTATTTGTCCTGTATTATTTTGACTGAAATATATCAAAATTGGGTGGTTTATATATACGATGAATAACTCACATAGTAAAGTTCAACAAAAAAAACACCTTCTTCATATACAGGACAGAAGAATGCCCTTAAATTGCCTTCAGCAGATCAATATAGGTATGCTGAATCCGTAAGGGATTTTGTCATCGACTAGTTTGTTAAACAATTGATTTATTATCTAGGATCACGAACAAGCTCAACGGTTATTATAATCATTTTATATCACTAACCATCGTGAAAAAAACTCCCCCTGATGAATTTATAGTTGATGAAATTTTTATTTAATTAACTATTTGAAATAAATATTGACAACTCCTAATAACTGATTATTCATATGTCCTACTCATGTCACACCAAATCAGATCTGGCTTTAACCTGAGAAATGTTCTGCGTATTAACGTTCTTAAACGAAGTCACCTTGTTTAAAAATCTCACTTCCCTTCTAACGAGGAGAAAGTCAACTTCAAACGCAGCAAAGCTTATAATTTCCTTACCTATATTAGTTATAAATTATTATTATTAGACCTATCAGTAAAAATTCAATTATTTGTTGATAAGTTGATAATAAATTTTAATCAAATTCCAGAATCTGTTCAGAACATGTTATGGTGGCTCAGTATATCTATATAAAATACATGAGACCGATTTTTGTGAACACTAACCCTTTTTGTGGGATTTTTTTTAAAGTTTGGATGTGACAAAATATTCGTCTAAATTTGCAGTTGTGTAATTAGGTTTTAGAATTTAAAAAATGCTTATTCTTAAGAGTACTAGGTGCTCTCAAAGGTTGATTATTTCCCATAAGAATTACCTTTGACTATTAATACAAAAACTTCTGTATCCAATAGTCGATGGAATCTTATATATTAAAAAAATTTGGTTTTTCTTTTCCGAGTTCGTTTGGCTCTTCTACCCGACCGATTTTCACGATTGAGGTCTCAAATTGAAGGTATGCACGCACAGATTTGCCATCAAGCATCGGCATGTATTTATCTATAGTCTCACTCGACATATACGTAAACAAAATTTGCTCCCCATGTATTTCTTATGGGAGTTAAATTTGGGTTTTCTTTGCCGAGTTCGTTTGGCTCTTCTACCCGACCGATTTTCATGATTGAGGTCTCCAATTGTAGGTAAACACGCACAGATTTGCCATCAAGCATCGGCACATATTTATCTATAATACCACTTGGCATATACGTAAACAAAATTTTCCCCCCATGTATTTCTTATGGGAGTTAAATTTGGTTTTTCTTTGCCGAGTTTGTTTGGCTCTTCTACCCGACTGACTTTCATGATTGAGGCCTCTAATTGAAGGTATGCACGCACAGATTTGCCATCAAGCATCGGCATATAATTATCTATAATCTCACTCGGTGTATGCATAAACGAAATTTGCTCCCCATGTATTTCTTATGGGAGTTAAATTTGGTTTTTCTTTTCCGAGTTTGTTAGGCTCTTCTACCCGACCGATTTTCATGATTGAGGTCTCAAATTGAAGGCATGCATGCCAAGTTTTAACAAAAAGCATCGGTAAATATTTTCCTTCTATATTACTCAACCAAAACACATAATTTTATTTTTTTTCTAATTCTTACATCAATTTAAGATGTACCTTCACCGGAAATATTTGTATAATCCTATATATTTTAGTCTAAGAACCTGTAATGAAATACTGGCTTTCATTTAAGCTATTAGTTATTCAAATCGGAGGAGTTTCAAGCAAACGCAAGGTGAAAAACCAACATAAAAATTATTTTTAATAAGGGTTTTATATGATTTAATATATATAGCCTAATAGCTCCAATATTGTACATGTTTTTCTATATGTTTTGGACTCAAAACAATCAGTAAATTATATGCTTTAATTTGAGCTACTGATCGTTTGAATCAGTTAAGCTCAAGATACTGTATTACTCAATAAAAAATCGTAAATTTCATTATTTCTTGGATATTATATTTATTTTGACGCTGCAGAGCAGCATGGGTCCTCTAGTTACATAGAACAAATTAAAAAAAAAACACCTGTTAAAAAAAACTTAGCAGCTTTTTAGGAGTAAATATTGATGTTTGTAATATTCAGGAGGTTATAGACCAAGTAAACAGTTAATCAGTTTTGTTAGAAGAATAGAAAATGCCTTGAGTTAAAACAAAAATATATTGAAAACTAGAGAAGGAGACAATTTAATAAGAGGTCTTATGAGTATGAGATGAGTGGAAGAGAGGCCTGGTCTAACAGTTAAAGAATCCAGATACACACTCACTTGGAGAGGTGAGTAATATTTATTTGACAGTTCTGCTATGCAACTTTGGAAGTGAAAAAAAAATACACGAAGAATATACCGTACACACCGTGTTGTCACGGTGGTAAAGTAAAATTTCATATCAAATAAATAAATAAATGCAAGAAATGTTTACCACAATGAAGAATTTGTTTACAGCTATGAGTATGTAGGGGAAAATTCGTAGAAACCACTAAAACAAGGCCAGCTTCTGAAAAATGATAAAATATTTACAAGAAGTATTTATTGTTATTAACAGCGTTTCCATTAGTTACATAAGCTTTTAGTTGAGTCTTTTAAACTCATTGAAAATTAATTATGATTGTTATTAGTTTTAAAATAACTCCTGTATGATACCGGCACTTGAAAATTGCTCAATTTCGAGCTACATGTACACTAGTCACAGTTCAATACGATAACTTACTAATAAATATATTATCAGCTTAAAATGGGCAATTTTACAACATGTTTCTGTCCAGTTAACTTCGGCGCGCTGACGTCTCTATATTTTTAGGTTACTTGACTAATATTAAAACTATTACGACCAAAAAGAACTAACTATAAACTATAATAATATAATATGTGCTACTGTGAAAGCGCATATTGAACGTTTGTTTTAACTCGTTAAGAGAAACAATTACCATGAGAAATGCGGTAACAATAAGTTGACATCAGTTCCACCAAACAACAGATGTGAAACACACAGCAAAAAAACTTAAGAGTTTTCAATACGATGAGAACACACGTGATATACAGTGTCTATTACAAAAGTCAGTTGGGTATGTCAATGTACTGGTAATATTGCTACTGGTGTTTGAAAAATTACCTAACGTTAGATTGGCGGTTTAACTTGATAGGGCATATACAATTATCTCTTTTAATAATAACTAATTTATATCATTCAATAATTTAAAATTTGAAGTTGAATAGAGTGTAATAAATTATTTCAATTTACATAATAGCGCCCTCAGTTCTATGTCAGCTATACGTCCACATTGCTGTGTTGCATATTGCATTAGCCCGACTGAAGGAGTTTCTGAGTTTGAGAAATCCCAACTTCCTAAAGATTTGGGATCCCATTAACACGACCCGAGGAACAATGATAACAACTAAAGAATATGTTGTATATATAAAAATGTATCAATTTAATTAATTGTCTTTGTTATAAAATATGCACTAAAATTCTACAATAAGTTGGTGAAATAAATATGAAATAATGTTAATTTCGTAGGGCTCAGTAATGCGTTTAGTCGATGTAAATAAAACTTCAAAATACAAATATTATTTAATTCGAATATTGGTTTATGGAAAATTCTATGTATTAACACTGAAGGTTTAACAACGGTATTACATATGCATGAAGGTAGAGCATGGAATCTATAAACTAGGAAATAATTTTAGGTGATGTACAGTGAAAATATAAAGTTAAAACAAAATTGAAAGAAAGTTACCCGTACAAATCTCAATATATTTTCAAGTTTCAGCCAATCATTTAAAGGGTAGTTGAATTAAACTTAGAAAGAGTGCCTTCCGGTAAAATTTCAGATTTACTTCTTTTATCAAATGTTTATCAACGTCGAACTAAAAGAGATTTATTATATTGCAGCATTTTTATGTATCATCTTTGACTATTAATACTTCTGTATCCAATAGTAAATGGCACCATTAACTAACATTGAGTAAAAAAACTTAAGTAGAAAATGTAACTCAGTAAAATAGTGACACGCACAATAGAGACAATAGTAACACGCACAATAGAGACAATAGTAACACGCACAATAGAGACAATAGTAACACGAACAATAGAGACAATAGTTACACGCACAATAGAGACAATAGTAACACGTACAATAGAGACAATAGTTACACGCACAATATAGACAATAGTAACACGAACAATAGAGACAATAGTAACATGCACAATAGAGACTCATTTTACTGTATTCTCTTTATTACTGGCTATAGTTTGTCTATACGGGTGGGATGTCTACTTAAGTATCCAGAGTTGATGGATATAATTAATTGCAAAATTTAAAATCAAATTAACATTTCAAAACGTTTAATTTTTTTCTACCGAAAGCTGAACGATTATGCCTAACACTCATTTCCGTAGAAGGTACCAAACATAACAATACTTAACGGATATTTCAATAGCCTAATCGTTAAGATAATTGTATAGATAAGTGACTAATTTTAATTTCTTATTCATAAACTTGATGACAAAGACAGTTTTGAGTTTGAAGACGAAATAACACTGAGATAATCATATAATACTTTCCTTGTTAGGCTGATGTGTCTAGAAAGTCACCAGTGGTGACCGTGGTGACTCACTCAGTAGGACAAGAACGATGAACCGTATTAGCATTGACTGTATAAACACTAGTGTTTATGGGTTTTCGAATTTCAACTGTAAACTTCGTTGTCTTATAGACCTATTTTTTCTGGGATAGGAGAGAGCTCAAGTTTACTGTAGCTAGGATTGCAGTTAAGACTTGAAAACAAATTATCAAGTTAGCAAAGTCAGTTAAAATTGATTGGCGATCGACTGGATTTGAACCCGGGCCCATTAGAAAAGCGGTATAATCATTAGACCAGCTCTGGCTTAGTAGGCTACAGGAATTGATTGTATCTTACTCACACATGATGATCACAATTTTAAGTTTGCGGTCGAAAATAACTTAGACAAAAGAAAATAAGTTTGTGAAAATCTAAAAAAAAATGTTCACTCCTTATATTTTGACACTCTCTGGTAGTAATCGGGTCAGAAACAGTAATATCGTGACACCATTGGTTATTTAACACGAATTTGACATATTTCTACGCGAATGATGTAAGTTCAGGGATGTACTACAACTAATGTATAATGTTAAAGCCACTTCGAAAATAATTTCACTAAATATAACAACCTATTCGTAAAGAATCGCGTTCCGGTTCTATAATCAAAGAGCAAAGCATGAAATAGAAAATCGTCTCAAAAATGGTAGGTAGTGACGTTAAAAAATGTTACTACCACTGCTGTTAAATCAAACAATCAAACGACAGTACACTAGCATAAAACGCCCATAAAAGAAATCTCATAAGTCACGAAATGTTGAAAGTATATTCAAAGGTATTAAAGGTAATTGCATTATCAATAAGTTTTTAAAAACATTTAACATGAGCATAAGAAGAGCTAAACAATTGAATTACAGTTCGCTAAAAAAAATAAATTTCTCTGGGAAAACGATTTATCTCCCATTCATAAACTATCCTACAAACGTCGTGAGAACTCCCCATTCATCTCTCCAACTATTGTTGCATGTTGTGACGAATGGTCCATGATCTACGACATGACAGTGACATTGATTGCGCTGATTACAGGTGGACGGCACAGTGGCGCTGCGAGCGGCGGCCGCCGGTACTACTGGCGCTAGTGTTGTGTTTATGTTGGGCCGCTAGTTGTCAGAGCGCCACAGTCGCACACGCGCAACATAAGATGCATCCTGCCTTTAACAACGCCGGCAAACAAGAAGGATTGCAGATTTGGAGAATTGAGGTTAGTTCACGTTTTGTTTATTTTGATATTGCTTATTTTGTTGCTAATATTTTTAGTCGTTTCAATGATTTAACTGGAGTCCAATACTATTTTATTAAATTTATAGTGTAATGACCTAACCATATTTTTTTATAAGTGTCGTGTGCAAAGAAAAGTCGGTATTGATCAGATTATGTGTCAAGGACTAAAATTTAGTCCTTTTCAGATAATCTGATCAATACCAAATTTCCTTTGCACCAGAAATTGCCACCAGAAATTATTTAAAAATTGCCAGAACATATGTGGTGGCAGTGGGAACATATGGTGGTACTGATTGATTTTACTATGTGCAAAGAATATCTCATACGCGTTTTTAATAAATAGTTATTGCAGTAATATTATTTGAACAATGTGCCGATAAAATTTTATTATAACACGATTTTAATGAGTTTTTAAAAGATTTTATTGTTGAATACTGTAATGTAAATATAAATGTGTTATTTTACATGTTGTGACAAACATATAAATCATGTGATATATGGTCTAGAACAAGATTTAAAATTTATCCTAGTATTGATGAGATTCCGTTTTTTAAGGATTAATAATTTGTAAATAATATTTTTTTATAAGTCTTCTACTTAATTCAATCAGGTGGAGAAGGTTGGTATGAATGCAAAATGAGTACTACATTTTTTACTGGTTGGTAACAGACAGTTATAAACATTGTAGTAAAAGTTTGGTTTAAATAACAACACATTTGACAGTTAATTAGTTTATATTACCTTTGGTTTATTTTTAGGTTACCCCATTACCTCCTTCTTCACATTTTCCCCAATTAGGGATTGATTGCGTCCTAATGAAAAACAATACTTTTAAACACACACGATAAATATGTACTAAAGTTGGAGCTTGTACGGAAACTACCTTACTTAACATCTCTCGGTTAAAATTTTATTTTTTATCCTGATCTTTGTAAAGGTTAAAATTGTTTTCGCTAATAATAAATTATTCATGTATATGGATAAAATAATCACATTAATAATCATATAATAAGTTAATATAAATATTTTTTTCTGTAAACATGTATTTAATTTTAAAACTGCGCAACCAAGTTTGGTGCCCCTCTGAATAACTGCAAAAAATATGGAGTGTTTTCAGCAGTAGGGTAGCGTTTTTTGCTACTAGAGGGCAGAGTTTTAGTTTTTATTTCATGATATTGTAAATCATGGAAAATTGTAGTGTACTAAAGCAAAAAAAAAACATTAACTGTCCACTCAATATTCTGATTAACAACTAAATTTATTAAACTATTAAACTGCACCTAAATATTTAGGCTACAAGAAGTGTTTATGCCCACTGTATTTAACTGTTATTAACATCATAAGCATTTCCATTAGTTATATGAGCTTTTAGTTATTAGTTTTAAAATGAGTCCTGTATAATATACATGTACTGTACTTGACAATTGCTCGATTTCGAGCAAGAAGTACACTAGTTATTGTATATTACAGCAACATTTCTGGAATATTAGGTCAAATAAAATATAGTATATTTGAAATATACTATTTGTAAATTATACAATCAGTTATAGGACATGCAAGGCGTAGCATTCACATGGCATAAAACAGATTGCAAAATCAAATTGTTCCCAAACAAGCTACGTATTCTAGTTGACACCAACGATCACACCTGAACTTGGCAAAGCATAAGGTTGTACTGATAAAGTGATAAGACGAGGACGTTAATGATAAGAACTACAGTAAAGCGACGAACTTAATGACTTCCGCTTATATGAGTAATTTTGTATTTTTATCCCGTTATCTGTATTTAGATCCTGAATCAAACTCGACAATACTTGACACCACACGATTGTTGCTATTTTGTCCCATGTGACGATGAGTGGTCTGTGCTTGATTTACTTAAAATAGCAACATTTGAGAACTCAACCATACGCATTCTGGTGTATAGGTAAATCTAACATAAACATCACATCAAGAAACTCTTCAGCTCATCCATAACTGGATGGATTTTGTTGAATATTATTAAATTTGTTAATCGTAGATCTATAACATAAAGAGCGGTTTGCCAACTTCAATGGGTTAGAATAATTATGAATAAAGGTGGCCTACCGTATTAAAAATTAATTTTCTTAAACTGTTTCGTCTCTTGTTTTGGAATACTGAAAGTAGACTATGTTTAAACGTGTGTGATAAGTGTAGAGTACGTTGACGACGATTTTTTCCATTTTATTTGAAGAACAATCAATCAATCAATCAAAATAACTTTATTCATATTGCACATTTTGTACAGAATGGAGTCAGTTATAAAAACACAATATTAAACTTAATACTACTCACAAAGAAAATTGTTATTAAAAAAATCAAATTTCAGGAAGTTGGAAAAAATCTTCTAATTTATACAAGGGTCTGTTGGTGAGAAATAATTTCAAACGTTTTTTAAATGAATTAAAATTACTTATATTTTTTATATTGTCAGGTAAGCTATTGAAATATTTAACACCACTATAAGATGGAATTTTTTCATAAACCGATAAATTATGTCTGTTGAACGCCAATTCATTACCTTTTCTGGTTGAATATGTATGAAAAGAGTTCAATTTTGGCAATCTTTCATGGTTTGATTTAATATAAAGGGCTATTTGATAAATGTATAAGCTAAAAACAGTCATAATTCCTATTTCTTTAAACTGCTCTTTTGCGGATGTTTTTGACTTTAGTTTTAACATAATGCGAATTGCTTTTTTTTGAAGTTCCAGAATGCTATTTAGGTTAAAATTTGATGTGCCCCCATAAAGACACAACCCAAAAGAAATATGTGATTCAATTAGAGAATGATATACTATTTTTAAGGTTTTTAAACTACTAAATTTTGACATCTGTCTTAATGCATGTATGCCTGAGTTGACTTTATTACAAACGTTTTCAACATGACTGTCCCAGTTAAATTTATCATCTATATGCAATCCAAGAAATTTTATTGTTTTAACTTCATTTAGTAAAATTGTATCCATAAAAATATTAAACTCAGGTGAATTTTTGCTTGTTGAAGAAAAATTTATATAATTAGTTTTTATTGTATTCGGTAATAAATTGATTTCATTTAAATATTGGTTACATTTGGTAAGCTCAACAAAAGAAGAGACTTCCACATCAGCATTTGAATTTCCGGATATTTTTATATTGATGTCATCAGCAAATAAACAAACTTGATTGGGAGATTCTATCAATGAGGGGAAGTCAGTTAAGTAAATTAAGAATAATAAGGGCCCCAATATTGATCCTTGAGGGACACCATACTTAACAATTTTCGTTGAGGAAGTGTAAGTAATTAATTGGTTATGGCTATTTATGTGATCAATTGTGACATACTGCTGCCTGCCTGTAAGATAAGATTCAAACCAACGCCAAGCTCTCCCTTTTACACCGTTACATTTAAGTTTTTCAAGAAGTAAATCATGCGAGACACTATCAAAGGCTTTTGTTAAGTCTAAGAATATTCCCACTACTTTTTCCTTTGAATCAATTGAATTAATTATAGATTCACAGAAATCGATTCCTGCGTCAATCACAGACCTTCCTTCTCTAAAACCATATTGTTCCTTATCTAATAAATTATTTTCCTCTAAGTATTTTGAAAGTTGTATATGCACAACTCGCTCAAAAATTTTTGAAAATGAGCATAACAATGAGATAGGTCTGTAATTACACACTTCTGGGTTACCATTTTTATAACAAGGTTTAATTTTTGATTTTTTTAATTTTTCGGGGAAGATTCCAGAGATAAAAGAAGAGTTTATAACATGTAGTAATGGTAATAATATATATAGACGAGCCTGTTTAATTATTGGCATTGGTATTTCATCCCAGCCAGTGGAAAATTTATTATCAAAAGAAGTTATAATGTTATCCAGCTCTTCATAAGTAATTGGTGAAAGACTGAATTTTGATATAATTTTTTGGGAGGGTGAAATAACATTTTTGAACCAGTAGAAGATATAAGTTTGGGCAATATGTCATTTTCAACCATCATTGTATAGTAATCATTAAAGAGATGACAGACATCTTCAACGTCCGTGCAGTTATTGGCTTTAATATATGGTAAACTTAAACTTTCACCATGGCTTGATTTATGATTTGCTCCAACTTCCCTATTTACAATATCCCATGTAGTTTTACTAACATTTCGTGATTTTTCCAATAAGTTATGATAATAATTACATTTAGTTTCAATGACTTCTTTTTTTAGTTCTTTCTTTTTTTTTATCAGAATATTTTGAAATGATTTATCTTTAACATTCCTAGCAGTACAACAATGTTTTAACTTATGTAATAGCATTATACTAGTGTAAAAAAGCTTACGATTTGTTATATCCATTGAGAATTATAGCTCGGCCGCTTAGAAAACGACCTGCGCGCTAATACTAAACCAATGCTGGAGGAGGTCGTTTTCTAAGCGGCCGAACTATAGTTGAATAACTAGAAACAGACATTGAGAAATCTAAATACCTATCCCATACATAAACCAGAAGGTCCTAGCCTTACACTCGTCTTCAGCTTCAGCTACTGTAAGGATTAGAAATCTATAAGAGAATAATAAGTTTAAGCTGTGTCTAATCTATGGAACAATTCAGTTTTATACATACAGCCAATCAAAACCTCGTAATTCGCGCATAATCCCAAATGACGTCAGAAAAACTTGTGCACGTCATCAGGCGTATAGTTACACACATTCTATAACTTGCAAATACTGTAGTCTACGTCTTTCGTCTATAACGATTCCACAAACTCCCAATATAGGTTTCAAAGAGACGAGCCCAATGCAATCATAAACACCAAAATAGCGTATTAGGTTTCCCCTCACTGGGGTGTCGGAAATAACCGTTGCGTGACAGAACGAAGTGATAATCAGTCAAGTTAATCGGAAATGAATTTAGAGCAGGGATCGTTGAGAAATTAATAATTATCGGAGAACAACAGTTTTTAGTATGAGAATACCATTTG